TTCTTTCAATATAATGCTTTTACATATTTGAGACCTTCCACATATTTGCTTTATTTCATAGACCATACTACTGTATGTCTTATTCATATGGGACTTCAAGTCATAACTCTGCTATCATAATGCTTATGCATCATAGAGACCTTCTATATTAATGCTTAGGTTCGTCAGACCTTACTATGTTAAGTCCCTAATATAGGACTAGTCATTGTGCAACCTTAGTACTAGCAGTCGGTCAGCCGACCACCCCATATATATGTACAACCTTGGGTATGTGTCTCCGACAACGCCCCAATATAAGGGAACATTACAAGAACACGTTCATTAACTTAGAAATTTTCCAATTATTACACGAACACCTTCATCAACTTAGAAAATTTTAATCCATTTTTTCTATTATATTACAAATGTTATTTATCTTTGTTATTGCAATATAATCGCCTTGTATTTATATGATTTGATATATTTTTAACATTTTAAGCAGGTTTTTAATAAATTTAGAGATTTTTAGAGACATTTTATGCGTTTACTAATATATATAATATTCAATATTCCAAATGGATATTTTTGATCTCTATGCTTATTATTTGCATTTTATTGCTTAAATTATAATTTCTATTACATTTTTAAATGTCTGTATAATGAATTTAATTATTATTTATTAATAATAATTATGAGGCGTCACGAAATCAACCAACATTTCGCTTCTGTAACAGCAATGGACCCTACAATTCGCTCTCAAACTGTGGCTTCCATTGCTTCTGTGCAAATTCCTAATATATCTTCCTTTAATTTCTCTCCTGTTTCGCAGGATGATGTCAAAAGTCTATTTTAGCAATTCAGTCCAAGGCGGTGGGTTATGATGAGATCAGTAGACAAAAAAATACTACCAGTATTTATACTAGAGTACCTTCTTCCGGCAATTTCCCATGTTATAAATTTTTCCCTTGATTCAGGTCAGTACCCTAATCTTTGGAAAAGGGCTTCTATAAAGCCCCTTCCAAAAGTTCCTTCTCCCATTCTTCCCAATCATTTTCGCTCTATATCCATTCTACCCTTTCTTTCCAAAATTTTAGAATCCTGTGTTTACAAGCAAATTTCTACATTCATTTCGAAACATAACCTACTGAGTATATATCAGTCTGGGTTTCGCCCTGGTCATAGTACCAGTACTGCTTTAATTAACGTCACAGACGATATTAGAAACGGTATGGAAGAAAAAAAAGTAACAGTACTGGTACTAGTTGATTTCTCAAATGCTTTCAACACAGTTTATCATGAAATCCTTGTTTCCATACTGTCATCTAAATTTTGGCCCTACAGCATTGGAATGGTTTGCATCTTATCTTCGCGGTCGACAGCAGTCAGTCTGTGTGGGGCAAATAACCTCAGCTTGGGCTGATGTGGAAGCTGGTGTACCGCAAGGCGGTATTCTTTCTCCTATAATTTTTTCTATTTTTATAAACTTTATTACCTCCATCTTCGATTGCTCGTACCATCTGTATGTCGATGACCTTCAGCTATACTTGCAAGCTGAAATAGGGGATATCCATAATGGGATTAAAAAATTAAATAACAACTTACAAGCTATCAAGGATTGGTCTACTCGTTATGGAGTGTTGGTCAATCCTTCAAAATGCCAAGCTATACTGGTGGGTAGCTCAAGGATGCTAGCCAAGATTAATCTTGCAGACATCTACTACAATGGGATTACAATACCGTTCAGTAAGTCTGTAAAAAATCTTGGCCTACACATTGACAGCACGCTGAATTGGAGAACTCAGGTTACTGAAGTCAGTCGTAAAGTCACTGCTACGTTACGTACTCTGTATCTTTTAAAACGTTTTCTGCCCACAAAGTCTAAGATCATGCTTGTCCAATCACTCATATTACCCATAATTGATTATGCAGATGTGTGTTACCCGGATCTGTCCCAGGATCTTCTGAACAAGCTGGAACGCCTTCTCAATAACTGTATAAGATTTATTTTCGGGCTTTGTAAGTATGACCATATTTGGCAATATAGATCTAAGCTTAATTGGCTTACAATCCGGCAGAGGCGTATTTCCAGAATCTTACTTGTTCTTTTTTCCATATTAAATGACCCATTTTTGCCTTCTTATCTTAAGAGTAAATTTCACTATCTCTCCTCATCTCATGATAGGGTTCTACGTTCGTCTTCTAACAACAAAATATGTATTCCAGTTCACTTCACCGAGTTCTATGGTAATTCCTTTACAGTTCAGGCTGCACGCCTTTGGAACTCCTTGCCTGACGACATCAGAAAAGCTCCCAATATGTTTGCTTTTAAAAAGTTGGTGCGTAATCATCTGTTAAAGACAACGCTCCTTAGATGAATCATCCATGTCATTTATATTTTAGACGTATATATTTATAGTTATTTATATGTATTATTTGTATATGTATGTTGGTATAAATATACGTATGCTTATGTATGTACGTACATATTTGTATACATGTATAAATAGGATATATTTTTATAGTTTATTTATTGTATATATTGGTAAAATGTATATATAACGTAATTAATTATAAATTTCTATTTTGTTTTTATTCTATATTGCTACACCTACTTCAAATTCTCACCACTCCATGGGTTGACTGGTAGAGAATGCCACAAGGCATTAAGTCCGCCCTTTGTATTCTTTTAGATTAAGGAATGCAATAAAGAATAAATAAATAAATAAATAAATAAAAATTGTCAAATACCCACTACTGTCATTCAAACACCAACATTTATATCCAAACCGGATAGGTTTGTTACGAATACATTGCTTGAATCCATGATTTCCGAAGTATTCAATCATGCTTTCATCATAGTTAAGATTTTGTTCAATGGCAATTTGGTCGAGAAATTTTTGTATTAGTTTATTAATTGGAGGTCGCAATTTCGTAATTGTATCGTTTTTATCAAGTTTGCTTTTGTCAGATGCACGAATGAAACGCATAATCTGAATAAATCTATCGTAGCGTTATACGAGTCTTTAGAGTTATCGTCTTGAATAACTCTTTCTAAGATTTTTCTCATATCAAGTTATCAGATCTTGGCCTTCAGTCCGTCACCCTCAGGCAGGCTGCCACGGGTGCACGGCTGTTCGAGGTGGCTGGCACTGTGAGCAGCAGTGCCGAAAAGGCGTACGCACTGGCCGCCAAAATGAGGGAGGTCCTCAACCCTGAGGACGTCCGGGTCTCCAGACCAATGAAAACCGCAGAGGTGCGGATTGCTGGCCTGGACGACTCCGTGACCTCTGAGGAGGTGGTGGTGGCCGTTGCCAGAAGCGGAGAGTGTCCACCGGACAAGGTTCGGGCTGGCGATATACGCACCGACGCCTCCGGACTCGGCATGGTCTGGGTTCGGTGCCCTGTGGCGTCGGCGAAGAAGATCGCTGATGGCGGCAGATTGCTGGTAGGCTGGGTGGCGGCAAGGACCAAGCTTCTACAGCCCCGGGCTTTGCAGTGCTTCCGGTGCCTGGAAAAAGGGCACGTCCGGGCGAAGTGCACCGCTGAGGTTGACCGTAGTGACCTCTGTTTTCGCTGCGGCCAGCCTGGCCACAAGGCGGCCCTGTGCACCGCGGCGTTCAACTGCAGCCTTTGTTCTGCTGCGGGAAGGCCTGCAGAGCACAGAGTAGGCGGAGGGGCCTTTGGGGCGCCTGTCAGCAAGGCCAAAAAGAAAAAGGAAAAGAAGAGGAGCACTAAGCCTGCCGGGTTAACCTCGCTGCCCCCGCAGGCTAGCAGCTCCGCGGCCAACTCCCGGCCCAGGACCGTTGCCGAGGGGATGGAATGTCAATAATGGCACAATTCTATTCTCTCCATTTTCTCCAGGGCAACATCAACCACTGTGCCAGAGCTCAGGATCTCCTACTCCAGAGCATGGCAGAGTGGTCGATTCACGTGGCTGTGGTCGCCGAACCGTACTTCATTCCCGCCCATGACAACTGGTTGGGATGCGGTGACAGTTTGGTGGCCATTATTGGCGAGACCTCTGATCGACCCGTCTCGGGGCCGCGGCTGGGTTGCTGCGGTCTCGGGCGGCATCGTTATTGTAGGGGCGTATTTCTCCCCCAACAAGAGTCTCGCCGACTCGCCGAGGGTTTCCTTGTCGAGTTGGGCGCCGTCGTAGGCCGCTATCACCCTCGTCCCGTTCTGGTGCTCGGGGATCTCAACGCCAAGTCATCGGCGTGGGGATCTCCGGTCACTGACCCTCGGGGCGAGGTGCTAGAAGAGTGGACGGTGACGACTGGTCTGGTCGTCCTGAATCGGGGTTCGGAATACACGTGCGTGCGGCAGCGGGGCGGGTCGATAGTGGACGTCTCACTCGCTAGCCCCTCTGTCGCCAGCCAAGTCCGCGACTGGCGTGTTGCCGCAGATGTGGAGACGCTGTCGGACCATCGGTATATCCGGTTCGAAGTCTCTGCCCAGACTGCGAGCGGCCGCCATCCAACAACCCCGATTAATGACCTCCCGCGTTGGGCGCTTAAGCGCATCGACAGGGAACTACTCGAGGAAGCTGCCTTAGTCCAGTCCTGGATCTGGGAGTCGACGATGGACGGCCCCGTCGACGTCGAAGCGGTTGCGCTATAGTTTCGCGGGGCGATGACGCAGATCTGCGACGCGTCTATGCCCCGTGTCCGCCAACGGTCCGCAAGGCGCCAGGTGTACTGGTGGACCGCCGAGATCGCGCAATTGCGCATAGTGTGCGTTGCGGCTCGTCGCCGGTACACCAGATACCGGAGGCGGCGTCGACGGGATTCCGCCGAGGAGGACGCGCTGTATGAAGTCGACCCATCGGCGACTCAAAGTCGCGTGCCAGGGAAGAGCTGCTTGGGTTCCTAGATCGGGATACGTGGGGGCGCCCCTACCGTTGGGTACGGGGCAAGTTGCGTCCCTGGGCGCCTCCACTAACACAAACGATGCAACCCCAGTTGCTAGAGGGGGTGGTATCGGCTCTCTTTCCTGAGCGAGTGGGACACGTTCCCCCGGCGATGGCTTCGCCCTCAGCCACAGACTCTCCAGAAGAGGAGAGCACCGATGTCCCCGAGGTGACGCAAGCAGAGACGAGAGCGGCCGTGTCGCGACTCCGGGCTAAGAACACAGCGCCCGGACCCGACGGAGTTCCTGGTCGAGCTCTCGTCCTGGCTCTGAAGGAGCTAGAGCCCCAGCTGAGAGGGCTCTTCACGGCATGTCTCGAGCAGGGTCAGTTTCCCAGTGTGTGGAAGGAGGGGAGGCTGATCCTGCTCAGGAAGGAGGGGCGCCCCGCGGACTCACCGTCCGCGTACCGGCCCATAGTGCTGCTCGACGAGGCGGGCAAACTTCTTGAGCGTATCATCGCAGATCGCCTCGTCGGCCACTTGTGCAGAGAGGGGCCGGAGCTGGACGAGAACCAGTTTGGTTTTCGTCGCGGGCGCTCCACCATAGACGCTATTACGCGCGTGAGGGCCCTGGCGGAGGAGACAGTATCCCGGGGTGGGGTGGTGCTGGCGGTGTCTTTAGACATCTGCAACGCCTTCAACACCCTACCCTGGAGTTGTATTCGGGAGGCACTGAATTACCATCGCGTGCCTCCCTACCTCCGCCGCATAATAGGGGCTTACCTTGAGGAGAGATGCGTTACCTATTGGGGACGTGACGGCGCTGGTCGGCGCGTCATGTCGTGCGGTGTTCCGCAGGGATCGGTCTTGGGACCGCTCCTGTGGAACATCGGCTACGACTGGGTGCTGAGAGGTGAACTCCCGTCGGGCGCCGACTTGACGTGTTATGCGGACGACACGCTCGTCACTGCCCGGGGGAGTTCGCACAGGGAAGCAGCGTTGGTTGCCACGGCTGCGGTGTCACAAGTGGTGAACCGCATCCAGCGCCTGGGCCTGGAGGTGGCCCTAAACAAGTCGGAGGCCATGGTGTTCCATGGCCCTCGACGCGCGCCGCCGCCGGGTTCACACATCGTGGTCAGCGGGGCCCGGATAGCTGTCGAGTCCACCATGAAGTATCTGGGATTGGTGCTCGACAGCCGATGGGAATTCGGACCCCACTTCCGGCGGCTGGTGCCCAAGCTGATGGGTGCAGCGGGCGTGCTATCAACGTTGCTTCCCAACTTGGGGGGCCCGAGCGCCGCCTGTAGGAGGTTGTACGTGGGAATCGTGCGGTCCATGGCCCTGTATGGAGCCCCTGTGTGGGCGATGGACATGACGGCCAGCACTCTCGTCATTCTGCGTAAACCGCAGAGGGCGATGGCCGTCAGAGTCGTCCGCGGGTATCGCACGATATCCTACGAGGCGGCTTGCGTCCTGGTCCCCGCCCTGGGACCTAGAGGCGAAAGTACTCGCGTCATTATATCGATGGCGCGAGGAAGAGCGGGCACGGGGCTCTGAGGCCGGTGCAGCGGCAGATCGCGCTGCGCTGAGAGGAGCTCCGTCAGGTCTTGGTGGCGGAATGGCGGCAAAGGCTTCTGCGCCCTACCGCCGGCCTCGCTACCGTCGAGGCGATCCGGCCAGTACTCGACGACTGGCTCGGGAGAAGGCACGGCTCCCTGTCGTTTAGGGTGACGCAAGTGCTGTCGGGGCATGGCTGCTTCGGCAAGTACCTGCGCCGCATAGACAGGGAGCCGGACGCTCGGTGCCACCACTGCGTCTATTGCGGGGAGGACACGGCGCAACACACGCTCGCCGAGTGTGTAGCTTGGGAGGAGCAGCGCCGTGTCCTCACAAATAAAGTAGGAGGCGATCTGTCGCTGCCGGCCTTAGTGCGGAAGATGGTCGGTAGCGCAGAGTCGTGGGATGCGGTGGTGTCCTTCTGCGAGGACGTGATGTCGCAGAAGGAAACTGCAGAACGGGAAAGGGAGATCTCGACTCCCTTCCCTGGCCACAGAAGGCGCACCGGGCGCAGGAGAAGGGCGGACAACGCCCTTTTCCGGCCCCCATGAATGGGTCCAGGGGCGAGGGACTTGGGGAAGCCCCCGCCACCCCTACTCGATGGACCCGAGGCGGAGGCGCGCGCGGGCCTGAGGTGATACACGGGGTAGTTGAACACCTCACTACCCCGTGCAGGAGACGAGCCCCGGACAGACCGGGCCAGCACTAGTGTGGGGCTGCGGAAGAATTTGGATTCCCGCGGCCCCACGCGCACGTGTGAGGAGACACCGGGGTGGTTTTAGCCGGTAAGAACCCGGTACGCCCCTCCGCCTTTCCCCAGGCGGAGGTAGTCCATGAGGATTTCCCCCCGTAAAAAAAAAAGGCTGAAGGCAGGTATGCCGAGGAGGCGCGTGAAGCTCGGATGAGTGGCCTGCCCGAGTCCTCTCGGAAGCAGCGTCAGCCGGAGCTGTTGGGACGGCTCCCAACTCTGGACCTGCCAAGGTTCTCCGGGGTCCTTTCCGAATGGCTGACCTTCGTTGGTCTTTTCGACAGCCTAGTGGACGCCCGGAGTGACTTGACCCCGAGTCAAAAGATGGCGTACCTCCTGGCCTCACTGGAGGGGGAGGCCCTCGGCATCGTCGGCCACTTGAGATTGTCAGACGACGCCTACCAGACGGCTCGGGACCTCCTAGCCAGAATATACGCCAACGTGCGGCGAATTGCGGACGAACATGTTAAGCAGCTTCTAAGCCTCCCGCTGCTTAGTGACCGGGCCAGACTACGTCCGGACCTGTTGGATCCAGTCCTGGTGGCCTGTAATACGTTGAGGCGGCTGGATTTACCAGTGGGCGAATGGGCTTTTTTGTTGCTCCGCATCGTGCTGTCCCGTCTACCTCTCGACCTTCGAATCCATTTTGAGGAGAGGTACGGCGGGGACGAGGCCTCCTATATTCCGCCCTTCTATGACCTGCTGTGGTTTTTGGAGGAGGAGTGCCGGCAGATCGAGAACGCGACGGGCACCGTTGACAATTTACGAGCCGTGCCCAGTGAGAGGCTGAATCCGCCAGGCAAGTCGTCAACCCCCCCCCCCCCCCCGCTCCTATTGTCGAGCATCTACCCACCGGGTAACGTCGTGCCCGAAATTATTAGGTAAGGCGGTTCCGGCCAGGCGAACTATCGCCAAGGAGCGCCGCTGGTGCTGCTCATGTTTGGAAGGGCACCTCCAGCGAGACTGTCGGCATCGGCGGCCCTGTCTGCATTGCCAGGGCAATCATCATGCAGTTTTGTGCCTGGGTGCGAACGGCGTCTCCTCTCGGGGCTCTACCAGGCCCTCAACCCCCACGGGCGGGGGCGCTCAGCCACGCCCTCTGCCGGGCGACTCTCGGCGCCCGCCGGCCAGCCACCAGGCCCCTAAGTTTGAAAGGGGTCCCTCCCCCGACCAGTCGGGGGGTAATTCCTCCAGGGGCGGGGGTGTCATCACCCCCGCTCAGCGTGTGGAGAGGAACTTCACGGCCACTCATCGGTCCGCTGGACCCTTCTCACTCCCGTTAGCTGAGTGGCCACGACTGGTGTACCACTGTTCCCCATTTGATGGAGGCGGCCCTGGCTAGCTGCCGCCTTAGCTCCCACCACGGGCGCCTCCACTGAGCCTTAAGCCGTCAACAGTCCACTTGTCAAAATGTTCTGTTGCCGACGGCCTCAGTGAAGGCGTACAACCCGAGTGGCGACTGTTAGCGGTTGCGCTCTATTGGTCTCGGGTTCACGCCGTGTGGCCTCCACTTGGTGGTGGGAAGATTAGGGCCCCCCTGGAGCGTTGAATCACGCTGTCCAGGGGTATTAGATTTGGTTTGGTCGAGCACTTAGTTAAAATTCTTTAAATTAAAATTAAAAATGCTTTTGGGTTTTCCGCGAAATTTCCATATTTGTAGCAGTTGTGATTAAAAGAATTGAATTTAATCTACTCCTTTAAATGCTGCTGCATATGTTTGTAAATATATTTAATCACTATGTTTGTTGCTGCACGGAAAAATTAGTTGAAATATGAGCATAGGACTACTTGTCTAACAGGCTGGCTAGTTTGTAGATTATCAGATGGAAATCAGCTGTCGCACCATTTGGTAAATGATTATATGGTGGATAGCCTGGCTATGCCTACTTGTTTGAAAATTATACTAGGGACTATCTGTGCGTTCGTTCGGCTCTCCACAGACGACGTTCATGGGGAATTTGGGGGTGCTCTCTGCACTGAAGCTTAGGAGGTCGCTCTGGGCCGTTTCGTGTCGCGTCGCTGTTTGCAGACCTGATCCGGTCGGATTGCAGAACTAATCATAAGAGCTCAGATAGATGTTTGAAGGAGGTCGCCGGACTTCTGTCTAAGAATAGGACTTATTTATGGGCTGCGATGTCCAGGAAGGGCATCCAGTTCAACCCACCGGCTTGCCCACGTTGGGGCTGTAATTTTGAGGCGTTGGTTAGGGTTGCAAGATCTGATGGGGTGCCTAAGGTGGCCTAGTTTGGTTGTAAATTCGGTCTTGCAACTTGCCGTCGCGACCTTGTCCCGCTGACCGGTTTGCTCGCGGACCTAAATCCTTATGTCCGGGACGGGGATTTGTTCGCGCCAAACGCTGTTTTGTTGTATCGACGTCAGAGGGCGCGTGGCTCGGTGCCATACCGGTTTTGACGTCGGTCGAGCGGTGGGGTTGAGAACGTGTAAAGGTGCAGTGAAGTCGTCTGCCAGCTGTGCTAACGACAGCACACTGTCATTTTTGTTCGGGAACCGCGGAATAGTTTAGGCGTCTAGTAAACATCCTGTCTAGGATTTATAACGCGCATTCCTTGTTGGATAGCCTTTCCCGGGACTTATTGGGTCCGACTCAGAATCTGTATAAGTGCATTCGACAATATTAGCTAGTGCGGCCATTGATATTCTAGAAATAACTGTTGCTACGCGAAACGGTAATGACCTTTGTTCCGGACACTCCGTGTTCGTTTTGTGCGTTAACCTTATAACAAACGAGAGTTAGTGGCTTCTGTAAGTTAGTTAATCGTACGATAGAGTTAATGGACTGTCATCGTGACGAACGAAGAAGTGGTCCGGCGCCGAAGCAGTCTGAAGCGGTGCAGCATTTTGGAGCAGCCTGGAACTCGGCCGCTGCTGGTCGCCTATGCTTGCCAAGGCCCCACACATTCACACCTCACTGTACACTACTCGCCATCCACTATTACACACACTCACGGCCTGCCCAAGCCTTGGTGCGAAGTTAGCTTCGGATAATGGTAAGTACTACAAGTTTCTAGCTTTCTCCCTTATTGTTTAGTGTAACTAGAGATTTTCCACTTTGGCCTTAGGAGGCCCGACCTACGTCTGCTCGCCGAAACTCAGCTGAATGGGCCCCTGAGGATTTGACCTTTATGGGAGCAGCCGTAGGCCGTAACAACTAGTAAAAAGGTTGTCAAAATAAAATTGAAGTTTCTGTTTTCTCATCACTTCTGGTAATTCAATAATTATGGAAAGCATGGCTACTGTTGTTTTTTCAAAGTTTTGCTCATTTTCAATATTCGCACCTATGATAGTACCTTGATACACTTCAAAATTTGTCAAATTCCCACTACTGTCATTCAAACACCAACATTTATATCCAAACCGGATAGGTTTGTTACGAATACATTACTTGAATCCATGATTTCCGAAGTACGAGTATTCAATCATGCTTCCATCATAGTTAAGATTTTGTTCAATGGCATTTTGGTCGAGAAATTTTTGTATTAGTTTATTAATTGGAGGTCGCAATTTCGTAATTGTATCGTTTTTATCAAGTTTGCTTTTGTCAGCTACACGAATGAAACGCATAAATCTATCTGAATAAATCTATCGCGCCTCATAGCGTTATACGAGTCTTTAGAGTTATCGTCTTGAATAACTCTTTCTAAGATTTTTCTCATATCTAATCGTATGAATTTTTTCTTTGGCATAGTAAATGTATCATCAGATCTGTTTACATTTTCATGATATGTCTTTGGATTCTGTAAGTATATTCATATTCCTGTTACTACAATGCTGCTTTTTTAATCCTTGTAGGTTGTGCTTTATATAATTCAGTACTTAACACCGTATCATGAGTGAGCAACTTCTCTAAAACAAATTTTAGTGTTGTTTCTGCAGTTAACAGGGCCTCTACAGCCAATTTAAATGGCTGCAAACTGTCATTCAAGTCTTTTATTTCAGACCATTCAAGTCTTTTATTTCAATCAAGTCTTTTATTTTCGATCATTCTCGTTATGCGGTCCAATTTCGATTTGATATATTTTTTTGTCAATAACTTGATCCCAGGAACTTGATGCATATAAAATAATCGGTTCAATTACTGCTATGTAAATAATTCTTAATATTTCACTACTAAGTCCCCAGGTAGATTTGGCGGCTCTAGTAATACTTTTATATATATTTGTTACTTTTTGTATTGTTTTGTCTAAATGTTTGTTAAAATTTGAATTACTATCGATTGTTAATCCTAATACTGTAAGATCACTACCTATATTTAGGAGTGTGTTATTTAGTACAAATTTTGGTGTATCATATTTTAGCTTCTTCGTTACTATTATTACTTTTGTTTTATGGGCTGCAAATTTCATTTTATGTCGTTTGGCTCTAATGGGTTAATGGGGCTCTAACAACTACCGGTGTTGACTTGTTAAGTATATCCACGGTCTACCCTAATTTACCGAATGCATCAATAAGGGTTAAGTAGTTTTTACCTTCTATGGAAAATAAATCGATGAACACCTCTTGAAAAAGCGCATCTTGTATTTCTGTTAATTGCATGATGGGTTTAGGCTTTCAATTATATTTCATCATATTGCAAGTTTTGCAAGCATTGATAATTGCTGCTACTGTCTGTTCCATTTGACTCCAACAAAAATTCCTACGAAGCATAACTATTGGTTTCTTTCCGTGGTGGCACATCTCTCCTTCTTGATTTTTTGTTCACTCTCTTCCGCAACATATACCACTCGATCTGTGCATTCATACGGGTTGATCATGTCTTTGATGTCAATTAAGCGTCTGTATTCGACGATCATACGATATTTTTGTTCTCCGGTTGCATCGTTTTTTTTTTGTCCTAAGTACACTGGAGCTTTCCACGGAGAATGCGATTCTTGGATAACGTTATCTTTTTATATATTTGTCTATTTATTTCTTCTATTTGTGTTGGGGCCTGTGTGTATGGTTTAACAAAGATTGTATTTTCATTCTTGGTGCGAATTTTTACACATTCTTTAAATTTCCTCACCTTCCTCGTCGTAAGTATGAACCAATTTGAGTTAATTTAATTGTTTTTCAAGTATTTTGTCGTCAGTTTTTTTGTCTGTCATATTTGTAGTAAAATGAAGGTCAGATTCAGAAACTAAATAATTTGATACTTGTAGGGGTTAATTAACTGTAAGAATCACTCGTTTTTAACACTTCCTCATTTGGTAAATTAAAACTCGCCAAAATATAATTTATATGGAGGGTAATAATTTGGGGGTGGATATCTTCCCATAACATACTGATTACAATTTTGACAGCCATGATGAAAAGGGATGGCTGCTGATGTTGATATCCTGGGTAGGGTTGGTTCTGTGACTGGTGCTCTTGTCCGATTATTTGTGTCATAAGATATTCTGTGTGCAACTTGATGCTGTATGCGACTAGTTATAGTAAGTCCTATGCGGCGGTGGTGGTAGTATAGATATTTGATATGAAGTGTAAGGTGCTGGAGGAGCCGTTGTTTGAGGAGGAGGAGGAGGAGGAGGAGGAGGAGTATGTTGGATTGGTATGAAAGCAATACTGCCATCATTGGTATTGTTGGTGATAGTCTCTACATTTGTTGAAGCTGACATGCAGCGTGGCGTTGCGCAAATACTCGAGGTATTTGGCCAGTGGTAAGGAATAAATTTTCATCTTCCCATGTTGTACGATAATAATTGCAGTCTTCTTTTGTACAGCCACCTCTATTCCGATAGTCGTGGCAATTTTTTTATTTTTTTTTATTTCTTCAACGTCAAGTTCATAATGAAATTTATATTTTGCCTTTTGAACATGTCCCCCATACATACTTACGACATATTTACGTAGGTTGGTTACTGGTTTGCTTCTTTTCTGTTTCGGTATGCGATTCAGATAGCGCCCGAGGCTGTGCGGAAATGTTTCTCGAACTCTACGTTAAATGGGGTGTCTGTATCGCTATGGCCAAAATTACCTCAAATGGGGTAAGGCCTGTAGTTGAGTTTATAGCATGACTATATGCGATAACTGTGTACGTCATTATTGACGAGGCATCAGTGCACTTTTGTTCATTTTTGCTAACATGTAGATTTCAATGATTGTTGAATGAAATCGCTCAATTATTCCTATTGAGTTTGGGTTATTGCTTGTACCTATGTGACGTTCTATTTAATGGAGGCTAAGGGATTCCTTCATTAACTCGTTATTGAATTCCATTCCGGGATGCGAATTTATCTTTTTAAGAATTTCACAAAAAGAGAAGTATTTAACCCATTAAAGCCTGAAACTTTTGTTTTTTTTTTTGTTTTTTTATTTCTATTCGGGTTGAATAACGTCTAAGTAACAACATTACACCAAAAGAAAAAATAACAAGAACATCAATTTTGAGTTTTGAGACTGTTGTCATATGGCAACGCTAGGTTCAAAGGAGTACAAAAATTCAGTTTTCTACTGTTTGTCATGAATAAGAAACACAAACGAATATTTTTTTAAATTTATTTAGATAAATCTATATAAAGTGAAAAATAAAAAATGTTAAAATTTTACTCAGAATGATAATTTTCAAAATATTTAAGACATAAACCTACATTAAAGTTTGAACATATGACTCTCCCAATAGTTGTACAGTATGCTCCGGCACATCTTCGTTTTTTTTTCTACTGATTTTGGATAGTGATTTACTCTTTCATTTGTTACTCCTTCCGAAACCCTTGATCCAGACTTAGAGGTAGATGGTCGATAACCAGATTTCGGGGGATTTCCATGGTTTTTCAAATATGTTTGGGTTAATTCACGACGGAAATTGAGCTGCGAAATGTCTTTTCCTGATTTTCGTATCAGTGTCCAGGCGTCATTTACAGTAAAAATAGGCCACCACCATTTTTTGCCTCGAATTCCAATCGTATAATTGTTTACATGAGCAAATCCTACTGGAGTTACTTTGTGATCTGTAGAAGCAACAGTTACAATAGAATTATCCATCCATGGGGCTGGCTATAACGATATCAACTTGAGAGGCATATTCGTATGAGCCTCTCGCTCTTTTTTTCAAGACTTCAACCTTAGAAATTGGGCATTCTTTTGGCAATCTGTTTTGACGATCTGTTTTGGCGAAGTGTGCCTGTTCCTCCGTAACCAATACTTTTCAATTGAATCAAAAGTGGAATACTAGTAAAAAGGTTGTCAAAATAAAATTAACGTTTCTGTTTTCTCATCACTTCTGGTAATTTAATAATCATTGAAAGCATGGATGCTGTTGTTTATCCAGAGTTTTGCTCATTTTCAATATTCGCACCTGGGATAGCACCTTGATATACTTCAAAATTTGTCAAATACCCACTACCGTCATTCAAACACCAACATTTATATCCAAACCAGATAGGTTTGTTACAAATACATTGCTTGAATCAATGATTTCCGAAGTATTCAATCATGTTTTCATCATGGTTAAGATTTTGTTCAATGGCAATTTGGTCGAGAAATTTTTGTATTAGTTTATTAATTGGAGGTTGCAATTTCGTAATTGTATCGTTTTTATCAAGTTTGCTTTTGTCAGCTGCACGAATGAAACGCATAATCTCAATAAATGTATCGCGCCTCAGAGTTATCGTCTTGAATAACTCTTTCTAAGATTTTTCTCATATCTAATCGTATGAATTTTTTCTTTGGCATAGTAAATGTATCATCAGATCTGTTTACATTTTCATGATATTTCTTTGGATTCTGTAAGTATATTAATATTCCTGTTACAACAATGCTGCGTTCTTTAATTCTTGTACGTTGTGTTTTATATATATAATTCAGTACTTAACACAGTGTCATGAGTGAGCAACTTCTTTAAAACAAATTTTAGTGTTGTTTCTGCAGTTAACAGGGTCTCTACAGACAATTTAAATGACTCAATCAAGTCTTTTATTTCCGATCATTCTCGTTATGCGGTTCAATTTCGATTTGATATATTTTTTGTCAACAACTTGATCCTAGGAACTTGATGCATATAAAATAATCGGTTCAATTACTGCTATGTAAATAATTCTTAATATTTCACTACTAAGTCCCCAGGTAGATTTGGCAGCTCTAGTAATACTTTTATATATATTTGTAACTTTTTGGATTGTTCTGTCTAAATGTTTGTTGAATTTTTAATTATTATCGATTGTTAATCCTAATACTGTAAGATCACTACCTATATTTAGTAGTGTGTTATTTAGTACACATTTTGGTGTATCATATTTTAACTTTTTCGTTACTATTATTACTTTTGTTTTATGGGCTGCAAATTTCATTTTATATCGTTTGGCTCTAATGGGTTAATGGGGCTCTATCAACTACCGGTGTTGACTTATTAGGTATATCCACGGTCTACCCTAATTCACCGAATGCATCAATAAGGGTTAAGTAGTTTTTACCTTCTATGGAAAATAAATCGATGAACACCTCTTGAAAAAGCGCATCTTGTATTTGTGTTAATTGCCTGATGGGTTTAGGCTTTCAATCATATTTCATCATATTGCAAGTTTTGCAAGCATTGATAATTGCTGCTACTGTCTGTTCCATTTGACTCCAACAAAAATTCCTACGAAGCATAACTAATGGTTTCTGTGGTGGCACATCGTTCCTTCTTGATAAAAATATCAAGAAAGAAACTATCATTTTTTGTTCACTCTCTTCCGCAACATATACCACTCGATCTGTGCATTCATACGAGTTGATCATGTCTTTGATGTCAATTAAGCGTCTGTAGTCGACGACCATACAATATTTTTGTTCTCCTGTTGCATCGTTCTTTTTGGTCCTAAGTACACTGGAGCTTTCCACGGAGAATGCGATTCTTGGATAACATTATCTTTTTATATATTTGTCTACTTATTTCTTCTATTTGTGTTGGGGCCTGTCTGTTGGTTTAACAAAGATTGGATTTTCATTCTTGGTGCGAATTTTTACACATTCTATAAATTTCCTCACCTTCCTCGTCCTAAGTATGAACCAATTTGAGTTCATTTAATTATTTTTCAAGTATTTTGTCGTCAGTCTTTATGTCTGTCACATTTGTAGTAAAATGAAGGTCAGATTCAGAAACTAAATAATTTGATACTTGTAGGGTTTGTTTAACTGTAACAATCACTCGTTTTTAACACTTCCTCATTTGGTAAACTAAAACTCGCCAAAATATAATTTATATGGAGGGTAATAATTTGGGGGTGGATATCTTCCCATAACATAATGATTACAATTTTGACAGCCATGATGAAAAGGGATGGCTGCTGATGTTGATATCCTGGGTAGGGTTGGTTGTGTGACTGGTGCTCTTGCACGATTAATTGTGTGATAAGATATTCTGTGTGCAACTTGATGCTGTATGCGGCTAGTTATAGTAAGTCCTATGCGGCGGTGGTGGTAGTATAGATATTTTATATGAAGTGTAAGGTGCTGGAGGAGCCGCTGTTTGAGGAGGAGGATGTTGGATTGGTATGGAAGGCAATATTGCCATCATTAGTATTGTTGGTGATAGTCTCTACATTTGTTGAAGCTGACATGCAGCGTGGCGTTGAGCAAATACTCGAGGTATTTGGCCAGTGGTAAGGAATACATTTTCATCTTCCCATGTTATATGAAAGTAATTGCAGTCTTCTCTTGTACAGCCACTTCTATTCCGATAGTCGTGGCAATTTTTTTAATTTTTTTTTATTTCCTCAACGTCAAGTGTTTAGGCCCAAACATGGTCATTTGAAACACCATCCAATCGCGTTTGACCAAGCGAATCGCCCGATGGTGTGAGGTGACGTGCGCCTCGCCGGGGGGGAGGGGGCAGCGGTATGCAGCTTCCCGGCGTTCGGCGCTCGTGGGCGAGACTAGTAGCTTGATAGCAGCGGCGCGGTCGATTAACGTATTTTGTGGTGACCGCTGCAGCTGCAACTGGTTTCGCGCGACCAGTTTTGGTTTTGTGGTCTAGATTTTGAGGATTTGTGCGCGTTTAATTCGCTATTGAATTTGTGGTTTCGTGAAGACCGCCTCGGATTAGTTTGTATAGTTGTACGTTCGTGACAAGAGGCTTGTATTGAATTTTAGTGATTAAAATAATTTCGTTTTCATTGTTTAATTGTACCGTCGCGAGTTACGATATGGCGGCGATCAAAAGACTTTTTAAAAAGAATAAAATTAATTTAATTTCACAAAAGTTACAAAAGTAATAAATTCAATTAATATGTAAAGTTACAAAGAAGTTAAGTTAAGCGTGGATGGTGTCAGACTGTGAGACAGTTCTATTGTTTCCACGGCGATCCTTTCCGCAGCGCAAGCATTCCTCATTTGCCGATTGTTCTGTGAAACTGCTATGTCAGCCCGATTCCAGGGTTACGACACGTTAACTCTTCCCTCCTTAAGTTGGAAGCTAGTTCTGCAGCTTCCAGGAGCGTCCTCGCGACTTACTTTACTCGATCGCTTATTCCAATTGTATATCTTCCAGATTGCAATAGATGCTGCTAGTATGTAGAGGAGCACTGTAGACCAGCTGGGGATTGCCATAATATAAGAACAGTTCCAGTTTTCTATTTCTTGAATGTCTTCAACCTTGTTCATAAGTTCATGGACACTATCTAGTGAGATGTCTTCCAGATGTATTTCGTACTGGACTTCTTCCTGGTTTATTAGGTTAGAGGGATGACTTCGTCCATCGAGATGCTGCTGGTGTGTGTTCTTATTGTTGTATTCATGATCTTAACTTGACAGTCCTGTGTTAGGTTGATGAAAAATGTTCCTGATAGTTTCCTATATTCTGTTTTCTGTCCGCATTGGGTTTTTATAATTTCTGGTTCCGTTGATACTACCAACCACTTATTTTCTTTGATCTTCTGCAATTTTCCTCGCTTCAGATTCATGCGCGCACGAGTACAGTTACCATCTTTATGCTTGATGAGTGAGATGATGCAATCTTCAGATTTCTCTATGGCTCTAGTATCCAGTGATTTGCAGAGCCAGGTATCTTCTGA